TGTTATAACTCCACTACATTTGTCTTTGGTTATTCTTCAGATTACAGTTTTTCACATTTGGATGTTTGCAATAAAGTGAAGGATCTGGAAAATTCTCCTACTTCTTAAGCTAAATTATTTAAAACTTCTCTGGGATTAGCTGGAAAATGCTTCATCACCACAGTTCAGTTTCTCACAAGGTGGCGACACTAAACATATGATTGATTAAAAATAATGGTGCACTGCTGTAGAAAAAAACTAGCCGAAAATATACAAAGTAGTAAAATGAGCTAACCATAAACATCTGCAGCTGTAAAATGCAACATGCACATTCATTACCTCATTACCTGATACTTTTACATAAGTGAGGCTTTGAATGCCGGTCTTTTACTAGTAGTGGTGTATTTTCCCGGTGTGGTATTGATACCTACTTGAGGACCTGAACACATGGTGCACCACAGACTTTTGCAGACTGGAAGTATCATCTCCTTGCAGAACCAACTTTGTGGAATTACAGAAAACAAAGAAAGCACTCAAATGCTCTTTAATTCATTTGATCCATCCTTTGTCCACGTGTCCCAGAAGTGCTGATAAGACAGTTTGGTGAAGCGACAACATCAGATATTTTTCATCTGTTTTAGTGAAATCGGTCAGCTGTGATCCAGCCAGTTTACAAAAGGTTTTTAACAAATTAATGAAACTTCTTGGGAGCCATTTAGTCTAAACTTCTTTAAAACAATCTAACATAATCAAAAACACTTGGGTTTGTGCTGCTGCTAGTTTTCTAAATTCTAGATTTAAAAACTGCCTCACCAAACTTGTCTGATCAGCAGCTCGGATTATTTTCCGCTCATCAGAGGGAAAGTCATTTAAATGCATCTAACATATCATATACACATATTTCCATAAATCTGCGTGTTCAGAATATCTGCAGTACATACACATGGGTCGACTGTATGAACCTCCAACCCGCATGAAAAATACAACTGAAAAAAAAAAAAAAAAAAGAAATGTTTGTAATTTTTATCCCATAATTATATCTGTAAACAAGTTTAACATTTTTAAATTCCTTAATAAAACCCACACACACACAACTGCTCTTTCAATAAATTAGAAATTAAAACACAATTATTCACCAGAAATGTTTAAAAATCAAAGTTATGAAATTTCAAAAAAAAATATGACTAAAAAGATGACAATATTACCTCTTTGATTTCATTTTCTTTAATTAGGCATCTTCTTGTTTATATGATTAGGTGTTTTATTTCATGGTTAAATTAAATAAAATTCAAATAAAACACGCTCTCACACAAACACCTCACACAGTTTCTTTTAGGTTGCATTGTTTGTAAAGTCTGTGTTCTTTTTTTTTTTTTCTCATTTGGCAGCTGAAGGAGCCACAGAGGACGACTGAGGGAGTGACGGGGATTCATTAGTCTGGACAGTTTATCCAGAACATTTCCTTGGCTCTGTTTTTTTTGTTTTTCCTTTACAGAAGCTGATTCTCTTTAGGCAATAACTAGGACCTGCTGTGTCCAGGAAAAAGTAATTAGAATTAAAAATAACTGACTGACCATCAAGTGAGCAGCAGTTTGAGCCGAGTATCAAAAACAACACCCAGCAGCACCAGGGACAGTTCTGCAGGTCCAAAATGCACTTTACAGCTTCATAGCGTCTGATTCTTACATGAGATAAAATACTTTGTGTATTTTTGTTGATAAAATAATGCCTTCCTGACATGTTTGCACTGAAAATACACGCTCAAGTTCATTTTAATACCACATTAGAGGTTTTTACTTTTACAGTTGTTGACTTAAAAGCATCACAACTGCTGATTTCCGATTCGCTCCATTCTGCGTCAACAATGAGTGAAAAGCTAAAGCCTGCCAGAAAGAACAATACAATTGTTCCAAGAGCGCCAAGGCCGCTAAGGGGGAGGGATAAATGTTGGCCGTCTTGAATTTGGAGAATTCATTTGCATGTGAAGAGCACGAGTGGAAAAACCCTGTTTGTTGAGTGTTTGTGTGTCTGAAAGTTGAAGGCATCGTGTTGTTTCCTTCTCAGTAAAGTCCAAAGAGTTCCTCGCTTTCTCCGTTTATCAACCTTCTCTCACATGACGTCAGCACGTTTGTCTCTGGCTTTGCTCCTCTGCTTAGTTCTGGCTTTGAAGGCAGCTGAGTTGAAAAGATGCTGTTCAGAAAAAAGACAAAGATCAGAGCGACATATTTATAGATGTGATGCTGTAATGACACAGGACAGTAAGTCTCTGAAGCCCAAGCAGTTTCTGTTTGTATTTTCCTTCTATCACAGTTTTCCTCATGATATAAAGTCCTGCACCTCTATTGAAGCCATGGCTAGAAGTGTAGAGGATGCAAATGTGTCTTCTGTGCTGTGTACACAAAGTTATGTTATAAATCATAAAAAAGGAAAAGCATAGTTGACTTTCTCTAAAAAAATGTACAAATTACAGAAAAAAAAAATGAGTCGACATGTTTACAATTTTCACAAGTATCCACAGGTGCTACAAATACTGTAAAGTGGGGCTTCAAATCTTGTAGACATTTAAATATTTACATTTTAAATTTGTTCTTATACTTGGCTGGATCATTAATGAGTTCATCTTGGATTTGGTTAAAGCTTCTGAAGAAACTGAAAGGCAAACATTATTAACTTCAAGGACCGTTGAAAAGCTCAAACTCTTTCTGTTTTTACAGTTTGTGGCACAGATAAGGAATGTTATTTTTGCATTTTATTTAAAAAATGCCACTCAAAACAGCTGAGATTCGGGGGTTCAGAGAGTTAACATTAACTGTTCAACAAAGATGCAGATTCATCACTGAGGAGGAGAAAAATACTGTAAAATACAATCCAAGACTTGAAGGTCTGAAGGTTCGAGGTCTGATGATGGATTGTTACCTTCTCAAACCGTGAGATCTTGTTGCCTTTGACAGCAGCGTCCAGGATGAGGGGGGCACCGAGGCCGTAGATGTCTCTCAGTAGTGGGTTGAACTGCACCAATAAAGAAAACAAATTAACAACATGGGTCGTGAACAGAACTCCACATGTTGCTGTGTTGTGTTCACCTTATGCTGCACATCTGAAAGGATAATATGTGAAACATTCAACAGCTTCAAACACGTACCATTCACCTGCAACAATAACTGAATCAGCTTAAGTGTCCATTGTCTTGTGTGCACCACAGGCCTAAAATGACATTTGCTTTCACCATATTCTGCTAAATTTCTGCAGCACAAGTGTGATCGCGCTTGCACGTTATCGTTTAGCTTATTTATACAAAATGAATCTCATAGAGCAGCTGTGGGATTTGCCCACACATTCATGGTGCATGTGTAGGTGTGTTCATTGTGTTTGCGTGTTGACTTGCATATACTCCACACAAAATGACATTTGGCAGCAGCACAGCCTGCTGCTGAAATTGGCTCAGCAGCCAATACCACAATTCTCACTCAGCTCCATATTGTTTTTTTAATGCCTTCAATGCTCGCTGTGACAGCAGACATGATTACAGACACATGAACCTAAATGGTCCGCATGACACCGTGGCAGGTGATGGTAAATTGGCTGTCAGTAAACGAGGCTGGGTAGAAACTCGCATGTGTTTTGCTTGAGAGCACTCCGCACTTTCCGTTCTGTTTCAGCTTTTCAGAGTTTTCCCACCTGTAGATGGTGTCTGACTCCAGACTCGAGGATTTCCTTGAAGGCATCGTAGCTTCTTCTCCTCATCCAGCTGTCGATGTAAACGTTCTCCACTCCAAACCTGATCCTCTCCTCTGTGAAGTCCTCATTCTGCAGCAGAAAGGTGACTTTAGAAACTCATAGGAAAAAGAGATGCCAAAGAAACCCAACACAAGAAACCCCTTTTCAGTCAGCATTTATACAACTACTAAAACATAGCATTAAAAAAAAGACAGTCTTAAATAAGCTGTTGTTTTTTTCAAAGTCCATTGATTCCAACGCCATAATACCAAAGAAGATCATTAAAAAATACACTTTACTCCTACAGATACAATCCAGCGTACCTCTATGTAATGCAGCACCTCTCTGAAGATGGAGCGCTGCTTCCTTCTGTCGTTCTTGGCTCTGTGTTTATTGCCGTCTGTCGCTAAACTCTTCAGACATTCACACAGACTTTCACTGTCGTCCACCTCAAAGTCCTATATGAACACACAAACACAGCAATGACAGCACTGTAGAACGTTTAAACCACAGATGCAGGTGTAATGTTGGAAAGTGCATTAGTTTGAACGGGGTGTGTTTATCCAGTTTCAGTCTGTTGTTTCGCCTTCACCCAAAAGTACTCAGTTATCAGTTCCCACCAAAGCGAACCAGCTGCTGGTTCTGGGCTGGTTTAACTTGCAACCCTCCAAGCACTGGTCGGCTTTTCCACGGGAGAAGCTGCCATAGAGTCACATCACTGGACACATCTATTCAAACAACACTTTTGGTGCTGAAGCTGCCTCTACTTTTCTCTGGCATTCAATGTTTTATCACCAACATCTGGCATCCATTCAGAAACACCCTTGCAAAGGACAATAAAAGTTTTTGGATAAAATATTATGCACCTGCTCTTGCAACAGCATTTAAAGATGCTAGCTGGTGAAAATAAAACATTGAAAAGCAGAGAAAACAAGATGAATAATGACCTCTTCTGCTTTCCACACACGGCTGTTTAGATTTCATGTCCATAATGAAGCTTTATTATTATTATTATTATCATCATCATTATTATCATTATCATTATTGTTATTATCATTATTATTCCAATTAGTCAGACTACCCCTGTTTATTTAAAAATAGTGGTCACAAAGTGTTCTGCTGTCATGATAATTATGCTTCCACACCCTGACTTTAGCTCTTGGTGCCGTTCTCGAACCAGTTTTCTTTGTTCATTGGCTGCTGAAACAGAGGAATCAGTTTGACATTTGGCCCGAACCTGCCCTCGACCTGCCGGGGTAGAAAAGGGCTAAACGTGCGCATTTACCTCGTCTATCTCTCGTCCCAGCTCCACCAGCAGAGCGATGGTCTCTCCCACTGCGATCCTGTAGTTAACGTCACTGCTCTGGAGACACACTTGCAGTTTAGGGAGGTGACTGCAGCAAGGACGAAGGACACAGAGAGAGAGAATCACTGTTAGTTGCACTATTAGTCACGATTGATGGCTTTTGACTCAACATGGTGACCTATATGTGCAACAAAATATGAAAACATCTTTAACCAAATCATATGACTTCTACAAATCCTGCCTGTGCACTTAACCTGACGAGGTTTTCAACAGGTGCAGCTTTTGCTAATGGTGACAGAAAACACCACCTAGAGACAGCTCGGACTGAAGGTTCTTCAACATCTCTCAAAAATGAATATGAAAAGGTGTTGAAAAGTTTGTATGTGCACCAAGCTTTCTCTTCCAACTGACGACTTGTTGCATGAATATGAACTCAGCATTCAGGAACTGACAAAAGAGGATGTCAGTTACTGGTCTGATTGCTTAGCTTTTGTGTATTTAAAGCAGCAGAACAAATCATATCAGTGAAATGAATCAAAAACACAATCTAACAAATGTAAACTACTAAAACAAAGAGCATATTCTGTGGATAAGACATAAAAGTCCACTTCAGATGCAACGAAGGGAGATTATTCATAAAAACACAGCTTCTCACATCATTGGATATTAACTCTATTACATTCGTCTTTTTCGTCTCACTCACAGATCGAGCAGCACAGTCAGTCTGGAAGCGGGACACAGGGTGACCAGCAGCGACCAGGCCTGCAGGGCTGCACTGTGGAGGCCTGAACTACCAGGTTTGGGTGTGGGCAGCGTTCCCTCTCTGTTGGGGTAGGAAGACATGAAGACGCTCTCCAGCAGGGCCAAAGACTTGATCAAGTCCTGTGAAGGTTCAGCAGTGATGTTGGGGGTGAAAGGAAAGAGAAAACGCAACAAGGAATGAGAAAGACAAGCTAGGAATGTATAATACCTTGATCAAGACCATGTAGCTACGTAGGCAACTGTTTTTGAAGTGATTTTGAGTGGTTTTGTATAATTGCAATGATTTGAACAGCTGTGCAGGGAATAGTGTACACACCTGCTTTACAACAGACTCGGTACAGACTTAAAAATACTCACTCTTGCTGAGTTGAGGAAAGCATACCATGGACGTCGAGCCAGTGCTAAGCTAATGGCTAAGATAAGGGCATTTTTTTCCCCCTAAATTTCTTAATCTATCTTATAACACACTGCTGTTAGACTCATTTAAACGTTTGTTTTGGAGAAAGTCACTTGCTTAATATGTCCACATGGCGTTTTTTTAATATGCTAGAAAACGTACCATGAATGGAATAAGCAGTCAACGCCATGGCTGAGCATTTCCACTTGGAAACTGACTTGTAGCACTGACAGACTCAAACATACAGACTCAGACGTCCAGTTCTGTGTATTTAATAGCACTAAGGAATAAATTCTTTGCACAGAAGAGTTTTCAATATCATTAGTCTTTTTTTGCAGTATGTTTACGTTCTGAACCTGCTAAATTATTCATGTGTTACAATTTGCCATTGCACACAATAGTTTTACAGGTTATTCTCAGATTATTTTCATGGGAAAAAGCTTCTAAATATGTCACTTTAATGCAGAGAGTTGAGTTTTTAGGGGTTTAATCAACAACCTTTGAAATCCCTGAGCCCATCAGATGCTACAGCCATGATTTTTTTCTGGGAATTTCACAAAGCCTGTAATGCTCTGCTATATTCAGACGTATACTTTTAAGAATTACAAGAGTTGCAAATTCTTCTCACCTCTCCATCTTCAGCAGCCGAGACGTAACAGCACATTCCCAAAGCCCTGGCACACTGACGGAGATGACGGAGACACAGATGTAAGAGTGAGTCAAACCACCAGACGTATATTTAAACAAGTACAGACAGGGTGAGGCTGTAATTCCTCCACACACACACCAATCTACAATCTAAATATTTAAGCAAGAAGATAATTGACTACTGCACTGTCAACACAGAGCAGAGAGATGCGTTACAGTTTCATTTCCTGCTTTTATTATCTTTCCTAGGAGTTACAGATCCCAAAACTACATTTGCATGCAGCATCAGAGCAGGTTGAAGTGATTACTCACGCTCTGGCGAGCTGCGATGCTGGCGCTGCTGTCGATCAGGATGGCAGTGAGGATAGGACGAAGCATCTTGAAGCCCTCCTCCGCCTCGTCTCCGCCCCCCAGCTGGATGCAGAGCAGGGCGAAGACTGTGGCTGCTGCTGCCTGCTCCTCCCCGCTGCCTGAACACATGACGGGAAAACCAAATCATTATTTATGTTGATCTATAACTGCAGGTGCTGGCAGCGTGAAGAAAGAGGGGATGTGTTTCCAGCTCCAGCACATACATTTTAATGATCCCTGGGATGAAGTAATACAAAATGCGCATTTCATCAAGCTTGCAGAAACTGTAAAAACGCAAAACAATAACGCACTGCTATGAACACACACCTTTTTTAAGGCTCCTTTCCAGGCAGTCGCTGACAGTGAGGCGTCTCTCGGTCAAGAAGTCATACAGCACTCTGGAGGAAAAGGCCAGTCGCAGTGACTCGAGGGCCGCGAGACGAGTCTTTGCACTGAGAGACACCAACATAGGGAACAGAGAGGATAATCAGCTGAGTGTTAAAGGTAAGTTTGTTTCTGTTTCTGCAGCATGAACTACAGTGTGGCACCATCATTTTGCATTTGCAGTTCTAATATTTCCTTTTCTGTTGGATGTTAGCCACAAACTCCTCACCTCTTATCCAACAGGTTGTCTATACACTGTTTGAGTTTGTCTTCAGTTTCCTCCTGCGCAGTCTGCTCGTCCACCTGCTCACCTCCTGTGTCGGACCACAAAAATGACTTTAAGATCGGTAATAGTGCCTCAGCTGAAGTAGAAAACGGTAAATCAAATCAAATCAAAAAACAACAAAACAAACCAACACTAAGAACAGCACAGAACAACTAAATACAACTAAAACAGAACGAGGCCTCATGCTGGGTTAAAAGCCAGTGAATGAAAGTGGGTTTTAAGATTGGTTTTAAAAGCAGACGATGAGGAGGCCTGCCTGATCTGCAAAGGTAGGCTATTCTACATTTTAGGAGCAGCAACAGAGAATGCTCAGTCCCCTCAGAGGTACCGTGCAGGGGCGTAGGGGTGAAAAAGCTCAGAGGGGTAGGGCGGGGCGAGGCCATTTCAAGATTTAAAAACGAATAAAAGAATCTTAAAATTGATCCGAAAGTGCACAGGCAGCCAGTGGAGGGAGGCCAGGATGGGTTTGCTCCCTCTTTCGTGCTCCAGTTAGCAGATGGGCAGCAGCGTTCTGGACTAACTGGAGACGTGCAAGCGAGGACTGGCTAACTCCAAAATAAAGTAAGTGATAAGTGGTAAGTAGTGAACTTCACTGTTTCGCCACACAGAAGTTGTAAATGGGAATAAAAATGCACTGTAAACCGACCAGCTCTATTTTTGTGACACTACCTTGGCTTGGCTTATTAAACTAATGCATCAGTACAAAAATAATTGCTAAATAAATACTACGTAGTCGCACTGGCTTTTTATTTTTCGCTATTTTCCAAACAGATCATTAACGAATTAACCAAACAGATAAATGAAATCAAGCAGGAAAATAATCATCAGTTCAGGCAACATTCTAGACATACATAAAATATATGTATAAGGCATGAATTATGTACAATCTGCATTTTTCTACCAACCTGTTCCCTCTTCCAGCACAGAGGCAGTTTCGCTGGCGCTGCTGTAGTGGCTGAGAATATCAGACGTCAGCTCATCGTCGCTGGCCGCCGACTCTCCCTTCATCCCATTTTTAGCACCTGGAGGAATAAAAAGAAAATAATCAGAAAAGGAGAGATGATGGGAAGAACATAAGAGGAGATATTAGATGTGGGTAGAAAGGAGAGAGCATGTTGTGGGTGTTTACATATTTTTTTATTAACTGAGCCTTCTTGTTTCGAGTTCCTTTTTTTTTGGATTACGTCAATGAGAGCAAATGTGAATGAATCATCCCTGAATCAGTGCACAAGTTAACACACACAAGCCACTGTCATCTCCATGATCAGCTGCTCTGGACGTGGCTGAGCGTTTCTATCACAACAGGTATGACGAGAGCTAACAAGCTCGCTGCCACTTATTGTCACGGCAACAAAACAAGCATGTAGGTGAAGGATGTAATGGGCAACACTGGGTTAAAAACATACTGAAAGGTTCTCAAACAAGATGTTGCACTGTTATTTGTCTCTATGGTCCACGGTGCTGCCCAGTTCTTCTTGCCTATCCTTTGTGGTATAAGAGATTGGAACACATCGAATGCTCTTAAATAAAAAAGTCCTGCAACAACCAATAGTTTTCAGAGGTCTTATTTCAATTTTATGGTAATTTAGGCCACTGACTTTCGTTATTTTGGTGCTTGGGTGACTTTTAAAAGCAAGCTATCATTTCAATAAACTGGTAACGATGCTAAAAAATCAGGTTATTTGTGAACGTGTCATAACCAGAATCTGACTGGAGGTCATCTCCGTGCAGTGAGGGTTAAAAAGCTAAGCTGGCTCTGCTCAGCTGCCTTTCTTTGTCAGTAACTGTACACCGACGGAGCTCTTCTTTTACACAAACGAACGCACTCGGATCAGAACACAAGTTTGCAGCAAGCGCTTCAAACCCAGATTTCAGACGAAACATAGACAATGTGTGACCTGCTACTAGGATGGCTAAGATTTAAAAAAATAAAACATTACATTTTATTAATCTTGCAGTTCACCACTGAATTGCAGTCTTCACCGACAGACAGACGGTTGTTCTCATTGTTAACAATCAGGACATAAATACAGGAAACACCAGATAAGGAGAGGATGTCTACGAGGCACCGCTCCGTCATCTTTTATGCTTTTATTGGTACCAGGTGTCGTGTTTCCGCGCAGCTCGGCCATGTGCAGGGGATGAGAAGGGGGCAAGAGTCGCAAAGCTAAGCTAACCCTCAGGTTCCTGCTGGCTCAGGACTTTCTACTGTTGGTGGGATTACTGAAGACCAGAGTGGCCTTTGGCTTATTCATTCCCTCAATGATCCAGAATGGTCAGACAGTGTGCTTGTGCGCGTTTATGTCCAGGTCAGCCAGGACAGTAAAGGTAACCCAGAGGTCACTCATACTGTATGCGAGCTGGGAGGTCCGTTCTTTTTTTTTCAATATTATTTAGTGGTGACTACAAGAAACAAGTGCAAGTTATGCTAATCAGTTCTGCTGTAGCTCAGTATCGACCACACATATCTGATCATGATTTCCACCCAGGTTCAGGTAATAGCAACCAATAGATGAACAGGATCCTGGATTATATTTGAGATCAGAATGTATAAGTGGAAATTTCAGCCAATTGAATCAAACAATTCTCTTTATACTATAAAAACTTGACACATTCAGGCTAAATTCTCTCCAGCCACAAGCCAAATGCTGCTGTAGCTGACTATCATTTCAACTCTCTTCCACTGACGGTACTATTCCCTGCCTGAAAGAAAAGCCTACAGTTAGAGCGACATGCCCAAACATCAGGCGTAGCTACTGTTACGACAAGTCCTCCTGCTCCTGTGGCTTGTGAAGTATTTTACGGTTGCGCTGACTACATAATAGCGAGATAATTGCCACAACTCCACTGTACAGTAACGACAAAATAGCTGCAGGTTGTGCTCCTATTAATAGCTCCCTCTTCAGTCACGTCACTAGAATAGACAATGAGTAGTAAAAACGAGTCTTCAAGTGCTTTCAGCGCTGAGCAAAGGAAAAGCTTCTAGTCTTCTTTGTGAATGATAAATGTTCTGGGTTTTTGGAGAAAAGAGACAAATTCTGCAATCCCATTTTTTTTCAAAGAAGACGCAGGATGAAACCTTAAAGAAGTTCATAAATATGGCGAAGATATCATAGAGTACATTCTAACACGAGCTCAGAATAGGTTTGTGGGGATGACGACACATGACATGAAGCGTGATCGCTCCATGAACAGACAAGCAATGAGTTTGTGTTACACTGTAAGACCGAAATCTGTGTTTTCCTGTTATTATTCCTGACAATTTGATAGACTAAAATATATTATGTTTGAGTAAATAAAACCCCAATTAACAAAACTGGTTTAAAAAAATATAGTTTTTTACAAATTCTTATGACTTTTGTTCTGGTTTATGCTTCTTTGGCAGCACAAAAAATGAAGTAAATAAAAGTGTAGAAAAATAAAACTTTAATTAACAAAAACAGTTTAAAAATTATATATATAGTTATTTAATTTTATTATTATCATTTTTTTTTTTTTTAATGATTTTGTTCCTGGCTTAAGCTTCTTTCGAGGCGCCAAAAATTCTTGTTTGCTCGTAATTTTCTTCACATTTTATATCAATACCTTTAATTATTAAATAATCACTAAATGTATTTAAAACCTGAGAGAAAAAAACATTTGCCTTTCAGCAGTTAAATTCTACTTTCATGTACATTATTGTGGATGTAATGCACAATATTTAATTTTCATCTAATTTTTCAGGTGTAATATTTAATTTTCATGTGCAGAATTTCATTACCATGTGCAATACTACTTATTACTCAGTATCATTGCCAGCATACTTTTACTGTTCTATGCTAGTTTTATTTTAGCTACTTACTTTATTTTAATCAATTACTGTTTTTTAGGCACACCATTTCTTCTCTGCACAATATCTGGAACAAGAACTTCCTTTGGGATTATTCAGGTTTTATCTGTCTTAAATGTTTTCATTCATTCAGCCAAGTAACAAACAAAACCCAGCTTTTATTGTTACAAGAAAAACCTGAATGTATCCCTGACATGTGTGCCGTCCTTATGTAATATTCAAATGTCTTTGACAGAACAGCCTGCAGGTTCTCCTGCACACAAGCCCACTGTTGGCAGCTGAGATAAGGCGTTCTGTGGGCCTCCATCAGTCACCAATTTCCCAGTCATCATCCTTGAACTCTGGGCCGTTGTACAGGTTACTTCCCTGCAGCTACACACAGAACTCAACCACACATCTTCCCACGCAGACCTGCCCACACACAGCTCAGCGATGAGAAGTGAGAGCTCCCTGCCACGACTCACGTGTCGTCTCCGCTTTGCCGCTTTATGCTTACATAGCAATCACTCTCACAGCTTCGGCAGTCAGCGAGTCTCCGGAGAAGAGGCTGACAGACAAATCAGGTCTCTGAGCCAAAGGGGGGCGGGAGCTTGTACGAGCCCCTCTGGCCACGACATGGCAGCACAAGTTCAAGTTCAAGACACAGGAGTCCGGTGAAGGAATTAACCTGCTTTTTCACGACAAGCATTTCGCTGCTGACCCCATGGAATACTGTGCTTACGGTTAGGGATCTAATGCAAGTCAAGGTCTCACTATTAGGGCATTTTATGATGTAAATGTCTCATTAACATCGCTCTCAAACTGCTGGAATTAATTCAAAAACAGACCTCGAGATAAAATCCAAATCTCTGTTTGGAGAAAAAACAACCAAGCTGCAGACAAATGGTTCTGCTCAGAAAACCACGACAAATAATTCAAATTTGTCAAAGTAATAAATATATATGGATTAATATGTACCTAGACACCTTATATTACATTTAGAGTTTCATAAAGTGGCTAATTTAACCTTTAAATCAGATAATCAGTCTACTTTATATCGTTTGTATTCCTACTCTGATGCTTGGTTATTTGTCTTTATAAAGTTGCACTCTTTTTTTTGACTGATGTTTTATTTCTTTTATTGTTTTATCTAATGTTTTGTGTATTTTAATGCTTTGTGAAGCCCTTTGTAACCCCAGGTGCTATAGAAATAAGGTTTATTACTATCTAATACTTTACAAGTGACAACAACAAACACGTGGCAGCAGGTTAGGAAAAGCCCCGAAGAGCAACGTGTGACGAGTGATTTTAGCTCAAGTGTCAAGATTGTCACAAGAAGCAAGAAAATGTTAGAAAACGTGGTTGGGTGGAGCGATTTTCAACTCAGACTTGGGTCTCAAAAGCAGGTGGTGATGAAGCAAGACTGCCTGTCAGCAGCCACCAGTTAGTGGAACAGGTTGGGCGGATAAACGTCCTTTATAATTCTGTGATGTTTGTCTTTTAAAAAGCCATGAATCTCAGCGTGAAGGTGGGGCTTTAACTCGTGATGTTCAAGAGCAACATGCATGAAGACTGATGAGGTTCTGAGGCTGTCGTAAAGTCAGTCGGGTGTGAGTTAAACATTTTCAGTGCAGCTGGGGGGAAAAAACACGAGGTCAGTTTAGCGTGTTAAGTGTCTACTGCATGCTTGCGGTGTGGTTCAAGAGCTTCTGAAGAAGGCTTCAGACTGGACGGGAGGGCTGGAGCGAAGGATCGGAGGAGTTACCTTTCAGCGACGCTTTAGCCGACAACTGCAGCTGAAGAACCTCCTGACGAAGAGAGCCTGGAGATGATGTATGGGCGGAGGGGTGGTTGAAAAATCAAGTGTAAAAGGTGGCGGAAAGAAGGGTGCATGAATGAATGGAAACAAGGAATGGCCATGATGGAGAAGAAAACATCACAAGTGAGGTGAAGTTTCCCATTTATGAGTATTGTGACATTACTATCATTGCTGCACAAGTGGGAAGCAAATCTAGACACAGCTATATATAAAAAAAAACACACACACACACACACACACTGCAGCAGACGTCAAACATCAGTTGGAGCGTGTATTTATGTCCCTGTGCCTCCCTCTTCCTAATCTTGGGAAGCAATCACAGCACACAGTCAGTGCACGTGTGCAACATCACTCCTGGAAACGTGAGGGGGCTCGAGACAGGCACATGCGTGGTCCGCACCTTCTACTGTACATTGACAAAAAAAAAAACGTGTAGCTGTGATTCCTAAAATTACATTCAAATGAACCTGGAGACCCTGTACACCAATTTAAGCAGCATGGCAGCGGTGCTAAAAATAACACGCGGTTAACCTTAACCCTGAGTAAGTATAGCTCCAGCATGTCACAGTCCTACTGGAAAGCTGGAGATAAACACGCGAATGCATCACTTATTTGACAACTCGTGCACGATTAAAGCCAATAAAGAGTAGTTTCTCCACAAACGTGCAGAGCTGCAGCACTGACTATAAGCCACATGGATGGGAAAGAGGTGCAAAACAAAAACATGCTAAAGTTTGAGGAGCAACAGGCTGTTAGCATTCACGCCATATGGTGAAGATGCACAAACTGCCCGCCGCTCGTGTGGCTTTAAAGGTGTGGCGAGCGAACCGTAATAACACTTTAACTTGTCTTTTAATACCTGCTGGGCTTTGTTTTCCAGAAGCTAGCACGCTGAGTGCTTTATCGCTACTTACCCGGCTTACTGGAGCCACGTTTCCCTTTTTTACTCCGTGGCATTTTGAGCAGCGCTTTGAGCCAACAGTTCACAACACGGCTAGCCGGGTTAGCTAGCTGAAGTTAGCCTGCTTCGTTAGTCCGCTCCTCGGTGCTTGACAGCCGGTGTGGAGGCGGCGGGAGACGACGACAGGCTGGTCCCGGTGGTTTATATCTTCAGCTGGGTTAAAAGCTACTTAAAAATGCCCCCTTTTCCTTCCTACTCGCGTTGCCGCTTCGGGTGCCGTTTGGCTAACGCCGCCGCGAACACCCAGCCGAGCACCGCCGCGCTCCTCAACTCTCCAACCCTCGGAATAAAGAGTTGTCCGGCGGCGGAAAAGTCCCTCCTTTCGGCGGGGTTCAGAGCGTATTATCTGTGGTTGTCCCCGGGTAATCTGTACCCGACGCCGGGTTGAGATGTTAAATATTTTCTAACGTGTTTGGGACGGAGTTGTGAGCACGCTGCTGTCGCCAAGTCCACCATCTTCTCCTCAGTAACTACTGAACAGACCGGTAGCCGGGGTTGCCAGGTCAGCTCTGCTGCCATCCCCCGTTTCCAGTGTCGTGCCAAAAAAGTGAGCGTCAGCCGGTTTGTTTTTTTACGGGATGAAGGTTTAAAGGACCAATTCAACTCATGGAATGTGCCGAAACGTGATTACAGCCACTAAAGGCTGATTGAAACGTTTTTAACGCATCAAATGACTTGATTTCATCCATGAGTAAGGTGATAATGATAAATCCTTTATTTTCATATATGTAACTCCTCCAAATCATATTATTTAGTCTGTACAAGCATATTAGACATACCAAACATGTGTAACCTAAACAATATTATAATATTGCTTTTAATGATCTTAAATGTAATGCCTGATTATGCGATGAACTGCAAATATTTCTCTTTTTTTTATAATTATTCTGTTAAAAGACAAACTTTTGCCATCAGCACAGACTTAAAGTTAAGTGTATTTGCACATTTAATCCAAATAAAAGTTGCTGCAGACGTTTATAAACTGGCCAGTACAGCTTCAACATTGAAGACAGTCCCAGATTTGATGGATGTATCTGTTTTTTCTGATATCTATGATAAATTAATTGCCAGTGTTGTATCGTTGTTCAAATCACTGTTGTTGTTATATACAGTATGTTAAACTTTCATGCCAATAAAGCTCACCAAATTGAAATCGAATTGAAACTGAGGTTGAAATTTAAAGTGATTTAAAACAAACTGAATGTTTGAAATATAAAAGTCAATATAGTGAAAAATTTGATTTCATTTAGGTCTTAATTTATAACATTTTTCAAAACAACATTCTCAGATTATTCACATTACTGCAGCCAAACAATATCAGATGTAAAATAAACTTTGGAATAAGTCAAATTTGTGATAGATTCAGAGAAAATCTCCATCCTTGTGGCCTTAATCCTGTTTCTGTTCCAGAGGACGCCCTGATGGACCACAGCAACGTGAAGGAAACATTCTTGTATATTTAACATTTATGCAATCTTATTTTCAGACTAGTGTCCATTTTAGTGGTGGAATAATAGCAAGCCAGAGGCAAAAAAGAATGGAAAATTATTTTATTAAAGAAAAGATATTTTTGAATCAAATACAAAATGTTATTTAACATGTTCACATAAACATTGAAGTCCATACTCACACGCAGCGTACATCAAGACAACCCATAAATCAGTAGTGTTATTTCTGTAGAAGTACAGAAGTCTTAAGTCCAAAGACAGTGCCCTCATTTAATAAAGAAATGTAATTTATCAGTAGCAGATGGAACTCATAATTACATCTAAAGTGTCATTAGGATTTCAAGTAAGACTATCGTTATATCTTATGTAGCGCAAAGTTCTCTCAAAGTTAAACATATTAATTAGGTAGTGAAATGTCTGAGAGACTGCTTGGATCCGGTTGTTGAACAAACCAAGAGAAAAGTGAAAAATCTGTTAAATAAGTTTCACAAACTGAACTGACAGGTTTGTTGGTTAGATAAGAAGCTGACCCAGTTATACCTCCCTGAATCGAGCTGTTTACAACTACATTATTAATGGAAATTTGGTTTAATGGCACTCTGATGACCTTAGAAAAAACAAAAACTGCAGATATGTGATGATTTAGTGTCAAAAGAGCAATTTGGAGCTTTGTTTTGGTCCAGTGGTGACAAATGGAAAGTATATCATGCTTCAAAAACCTATAATCTGTGACAAAAAGTTAATTAAATACTAGAATTTAATGGAACCACACAGCCTAGCTTTAGTGTGTTTTGGCTGAAAGAGCAGCAAGTTGTTTCCATTTAACCTGCTTACCGACTAGACAAAGAAAAACTTGGTCCATGAACCATGTTAACATCTACAACCGTCCTGTAGTCATACATACATTCTCAGATTCAGCAATACTGCTTGGAATTAATGCATCTCTTCTGTAAACTGCTGCCGATTCACAGCCATCCACAGGTGACACCATGTTAATGCCAAAAGAGAGCCTGTCTGTAGAGTGGCAGTGGCTGATTACAACGTCCTGCACAAAGTCTTTATATGTGAGGTCCTGTTGCCATTTAATCCTGTTTGTACTGCTCTAAACTTTATACATTTAATGCGCCCCACACAAACATTAGTGTATAAAAGTTTCTAATTTTGGATTGTTTTCTCTCTGAGGACTCACCAGTGAAGATTTGCTATTTTTATATTGGTGTTGCATTGCTGGAGGTAACCAGAAGGGGGCGACATTGGTAAATATGGAGCTTGGTAAAGGAACGCTCCACTGCCAGTGTACCCCAGGGTTTGGGGTGCGTCTCTTATCCGGAATAGTAGTTGGTGGGAACGAAGGGCATCTTGCTGACGGTGGCCGGCACTGCTTTTTTCCTGACCTCCACCTGGATGGCTGTTCCGTTCTTGGCGAACGCTGCGTCCACGTAACCCATGGCGACGTTCTTTTTCAGACAGGGAGACGGGCAGCCGCTGGTCACCTCACCTGGATGAAACAAAAAGGAATGGGTCTTTCTGACAACAGCTTCAGAAAAAAACCTCTTAAAAAGTCCAGTGTGCAGGATTGAAGGGAATCTATGAGTGGAATGTAGTACTCATAATTATGTTTTCATCAGCGTATGATTGTAATAAAAGGACATTTCGCCTCTCATCCATGTCACTTTTTAAATATATAGCTGGTGTGTCTGAGAAACGTCAGATTCAGCAAAACTATGACACAAAAACTGGTCCACCCGAAGGATAAAACACCTAAACACAAGCTGAGCAATGATTTATATGCAGTTCAATGTAGCCAGGAGAGCACAGACCGATATATAGATATGTTTTATGGACTGGAGTGTTTACATTATGGACAGAGAACACAGATAGTTTGAGAGAGGAATAAAGTCTACGTGAAACAGCCATCTCTAAATAGAGGGTGGGGTCACCACTTACCAGGTACTTGTAATGCAGTCTTGAGATCTCTACCCAGAAAATGTCACTACCATTAACATGTGATTCTTGACATGGCAGTTTCACAACTATTCACACCTCGAGGTCCGTGAGTTATTAATGGGCCATTAGCCATGTGAGTTGGGGGTCACAATACATGTCTGGGACTCCCCACCGGTCAGCTAGAAAAGAAGGCTTTCTATTGGAGCCATTAGGATTACCAATCGTTGGATAAGACCTTAAACCTTTCATATCCACATGAAAATCAATTGAGCGTCCACAGAACCTGCCATGTTGCACTGCCATGTTTCTACAATAAACCCCCAATAAAATAAAATAAAAACTTTACAGAAGGTCTTTCCCATTTCTGTGTTGAAGTGGCAGCTACTGTAGGTTCTCCTACATGCTTGGATAAGGAGGTGGATGAAGTTGGTTGCAATCTGCAGCTTCACCCCTAGATGTCACTAAAACCTGCACACTGGTCCTTTAAGATAGAGTCCTAATAAAGTAATTAGACAGGAACTTAAAGTTGGTCTTATCACATCCTTGAGAGCTACTCTCTAAGCAACAGACTTGTGTGTCTATGTTATAGCTCACATGCACATTCAATCATTCGTTATGCGCAATTTGCTTGAAATCACAGAAGATGGCGTATGCATGCAAAATAACATGAAAAAATCATCACTCTGACATTGTGCTGATAAGTTTGACTTTATGTTTTAAAGCCAAAATGTGTGAGATTTTAAAATGTCAGACTTTTTTAACTCCTCATGGTAATATTGTAAAAGACACCACAACACACAATACCGCAGCTAATAATTCTACACATAGTAGTTTAAAATATTACATCTTTTAATAGTGTGATGGCACAATAGTTAGTTTGGCTCCACAGAACTCTTTTAGAGGTTTTAAAACATAACTGAAATGAGGTTTCTCTAAATCATACTGTTTATGTTGTATTTCAGTGATTATTTACTTCCATGTTGCACCACTCCTAAGTGAATTACAGAAGTAGCACAGGTGTGCACCACCACTCCCACCCTGCTGCTTTTCATACCTATGACCTTTCCGTCGGGGCTGAGTATGGGTGTATGTTGTCGGACTGGGGGGCCGGCGGACACCAGGCCGACTCTCTTTCTGTCCGTCTTGGCTTTGATCTGAGGTACGATGATGTTGGCTCCGGGGAAGTCTTTGGTCTTACGCCTGCGCTTTCCTGTGCGAAAAGGTAAAGTGACGGAGTTAAGAGACGGAAACAACTACATCCCAGAACACCTAAACTTCTTCTTTTTTAAGTTTATATTTTTATTAGGTTTACTGAGAAAAACCCACTGGAGAGTCAACGACACGCCGCTACTCTCCACCAGTGGAGCTAACCTGACACCAGCGACATGAATAAGCTGAAAACAACATATGCAAAACCAATTTTCATGTGTGTTCTACCAGCCTAAAAACAAGGAATTAAAATATGTTGAAATGAGCTCTGAATCCCTACCAATGGTCCAGACGAGGGTGGCCTCAACAGGCGTGGTGGTCTCATCGATGTCGTTGCCATAGAGACAGAGCCCGGCCTCCAGCCTCAGACTGTCTCTGGCTCCCAGACCGGCCAGCTTCACCTCACTGTTAGTCAGCAGCTTCTCCGTCAGCTCAACCACTCTGGACTGAGGCACCGAGATCTGAGGCACAGGGACACACAAACTGTAGAGCTGCATCTCCATCCAGGCGGCTTTAAAGCCAATAATGTTGTGAAAAACACAGTTTGTTAAAGAGAATCAACAACCAAGTAAAAGTTTATAGTCTGCCATGTACATATTTTCTTTTAAAGACACAGCTGATTATTTCCTTAAGTTATGCAGAACTCTACATGTTCATGGAGGATGATTCATATGAGACTTAGCGCTGAGTATTAGTGAAAAGAAGATAAAGACAAGCAAACTCCCACAATCCCTCTGTTAGACAAAGAGAGATTCACCCACATCCATCCTGCTTTCTACAGAGGACCAGCAGAGTAGGCAGATACATTCATCTAGTCAATGTTTAATCAGGAATTCCTCAAATATTTGGTCTTCTTTGACGGAGTTACTAAGCGACGCATTACCATATTGAAGGAGTAACAACAACAGAGAAAACCGTTTGTTTGGTTAAACGCGAGAACAATGAACTGAAGTTAACTATGAAACACCATCAGATTCATCTAAGGTAGCACAAAGGATGAGGCAAAGATGAATACAGTTTCTACCTTTTATTAGTGAGGCCGGAAGAATGGCAAAGTGTGTCAGGTGGTCTTGGTTTCAATTGATATGTCCTTTCAACTACTAGTGGGATTCCCAAGAAATCGCTCTTTACCTTTACATCACATCATTAGGTTTGTATTGGTGTGTTTGAGAGAAATGTTTAACCAACATGACATGCGGTACTGCAGGTGATCTGTTTATCTCCTGCCATCATCAGGTCAAATTTTAATTTGTGTAAACCCTCGATACCAAACATCTGCACTCATCCTCAGCTTATTCTGCGTTAACTGCAAATGTTTGAAGGCTAAAAACATATGCAGCAATAAGATGGTGAAAATGGTGTTTTTGATGCCCGTAAAACAAGAGCATTTTCATACTGTCCATATTAGCCATCATCAGACACATACAAAGATAGATGAACCCTCTGAGACGTCACCTACATTCTTCAGGACCGTGGTTTTGAAGGTCACTGTGGTGACTCTATACAACACGATCTTCACAGTAACTGACTCATCCCAACTCCCAGCTGATCCAAAAATGGGCAAAGAGGTGGAGCTGAGGCGGGTAAGAATTGTCCTATGACGTTTTATCATGGGGGTCAGTTTCTGGCACGTCATGCTGGCTTCAATTTTCAGCCCAGGAGGTGAGAAGTGTGTGTCTACAGCAGAACAAGCTGCATTTTCAGTGTCGCAGTTGTAGGACCACATTTCTGAGACTCTTGTTTTTTGCAACAGCGCCTCCTACTGAACTGGACACCGAGGTAAGGGAACTGTTAACAAATTAAACTGCAGGCTAGAAAGTAGTATTTGATATTTATTTGGAAACAAAGCCTTTAAAACCAGAAGTAGTTTGACAGAGAGTAGTATTTTGAGTGGAATAAACCTTTAAAATCTTAACTCATTAGTTAGAACGTATTATTATGTGGAATAAACTATAAAAACAAATTTTAAGTACATGCATAGAATGTAGTATTTTAGGTGGAATAAACCTTTAAAATTCAAAGGACTTGCACACAAAGTAGTAATTTTAGTGGGGAGTACTTTATAACTATAGATGCATGTACAGAAAGGAGTATTTTGAGTGGAATAAACTTTGGAACCCTTAACTCTTTACTTAGAAAACGCTATTTGGATGGAATAAATCTTGAAAACTACAAGTTCATGGACAGAATGTAGTATTTTAGGACGAATAAACTTTTATATTTATAAGAACTTGAACACAAAATAGTATTTTGGGTGAAACAGACCTTTAAAACTAGAACTACTTGGACACAAAGTAATATTTTGGGTGTAATAAACCTTGAAAAACCATACCTCATTAGTTAGAAAGCACTATTTGAGTGGAATAAAACTTGAAATACTAAAAGTAGTTGGACAGAATACAGCACTTCAGGTTGTTTAAATCCATAAAAATTGAACACAAAGTAGGAATTCGGATGAAATAAACCTTTAAAACTACAACTATTTGGAATGAAATAGTATTTTTACACCTATATTCTAACACCCACCACCCAACACGACAAATGAGATCTATTCACCAAACAGTTTTGGGAAAGCCTGAGTAAAAAAAACTACAACAAATGTGTCTATATTGTGAGAAATCAACAACATATATTAAAATGAACTTTAATTCTCTGGAGAAGACATGCTCACCTCCACGCCGTCCTCTCCAGTGTATCCACAGCGAGTCACCCTGCAGCCTGGAACACCAAACACAGTGGCCAGGGTGGAGGTCATGAAGGTCAGCTTGCTCAGGTCCTCCTTCAGCCCCTCCTGGAGCACCTTAGACATGGCTGGACCTGAGGACACACCGCTGAGTCATTAGTTACAGGATTTTAAACACAGAGGTGGTCACATTTTCAGTTAAGCTGGAAAAGAATTACATAAAACTTCAATATCAATGGAAAAAAGCCCAGCTGAACAAAAATTGGGCCAAAGAAAGAAACTTTATGGGGAAAAAATAGCAAAATGGAAAGAGGAAAAGATGGAGAAGGAAGAAAAAATGAAATGCGGACACAAGGGAGGAAAAAGAGGAAAGAAAAGGAAATGAGAATAAAGAACGAAAGATGAAAAGGAGGGAAAAGTGTAATCAGACAAGAGAGGACAGAATATAAAACACGAGGAAGCATAACGGAAAAGAATGAGGAAAGAGAAAAGCAAACAAAAGCAAACAGGATATCTTACCTTGCAGAGCAATCAGTGCTTCATCCAGGAACTCCAGATCCACATCAAAACCCTGTGCTTTGAACTCTGCCAGTCTGGCCTGAAAGCAAAACACACATCAGAAACTTTGCAGCTGACTCCAGGTCTGTCCAACTAAACACAGTCTGTCTTCACCTTCATATGAGCCGAGTCCTTGTCGGCACAGCCGGCGTTGGAGACGACGTAGAGGTAGCCCTGGTCGGTCTTTGTCACGATGAGGTCGTCCATGATCCCTCCTTTGTCATTGGTGAAGAGGGACAACGAACCCTAAGAGGAGAGAGAAGAAGATGAAGGTAAAGGCAGAAATACAAACGTGAGTTGAATTATACCAACCGTGATGCTCCGAACTAACATGTTAGTATAGATAGATCAACAAAAGGTGGTTCAATCACAGGTCCTCATTATTTTAGCTTCTTATTGAAACTCTGAACTCCAAGCAGTTCCTGGGAGTTTGTTTTTTTTTTTTACCCCTGTAGCACTTTTTTTCAGCTCATCTTTCACTGAACCTCTGTGGAAACAGCACAACCGTGACTCGAAGTAGAGAGAACTCAAAAATATCTTAGGTTCATTACAGCAAAGTTATTAAGCCATGAATCAAAAAAACAAGTTGAATTTCTTTGATTACAAATTTTACAAAAATGAAAACACTGGAATCAACATTTTCGCGCCCTCAGATGTCACCAATACTGGAAAACCTGTGGCTCTACACCCAGTAGATAGTTTAGTATTTATTACACAGGCTGCAGTTCAGCTGAAAGTCCCTGAATTTATGTTACGCGACTGTTATGGGGCACAAGTTTGTAAATGAAACATGCAGAATAAAGGGATTTTGATAAGATGTCACAATTTTAAGCTCAGATCTGGTTGAATTTGAAGTCACAGACGTTTCAGACTTGTCAGAAAGTCTTTCTGTTTTTTAATAAATGGTGCAATTTTGCAATTTTTAAAAAAGATAACATGCACTTCACTTCAAACTTGGGTCTTGCGGTTCAGAAGGTTGAAAGAATCATTTATTTGTCATTGTTTATTTTAAATTAAGAAAAGTCGAACTTCAAAAATGTTATAAAAAATGGTGTGACGATTGCAGACATCTTGCAGTTTTCCAACCCACCCATAACGTGAGCTCTCCTGACCACACAAGCATCGTTTATTTCATTTAGATTTTATCTCTGGTTCCTTATAAGAACTGGTCAGAACCAGCAGCAATGAGGTTTCCTAATGGGGCAGTGGGACGGTTCTGAACAGTGAGGAATTGAAAGCGGCTCAGAACACACTGCGGATAATCCTGGATCTGAGCACTAAGCTTGTACGGCACATTAGAGTGCACTGATGCTTGCTGTTGGCCGGGCTGCCACAATTTTGAGAATGTCCCACTTCAGAGGGCTCTGGCTGGATCGCAACTGGAAATTCACAAATAGCAAAACCACACGATAGGCAGACAGAGGTAGCATTTTGACTGAGACGTAGGAGTAAATCGGGTCTTGTTGTTCAACCTGAAGCTTTACTATTTTTATTTATTGTCACCGCTCTCATCAGTGTTGTCCAGAAAAAGTTCAAAGACCCCTCTGTACTCTACCTGTCCAGCACTAAACAGCTGACAGATAAAGTCAGTAAATTCCTTGAGGTCGTGGCTAAAAACCACAACTTCAAATGAATTATAAATTTGGACACACTAACACCAAACTGTCTGTTTCTAACTTTATCATCTCAAGTTAGTCTTTGAACCAGGGCAAAACAGAAACATCCATCTGATTTATAACAACAGTCCTTGACCTAATCATCTGCTCAACCTTAGTGTATGTTATAAAATCACTTTATTCTACATGTCTTTTTTTTTTTAAGTTATTTTTTTGGCCTTTATTATATAGGACAGTGAAGAGAGAGACAGGAAAGTGGGGGAGAAGAATAAGGGACAGACCTGCAGCAAAGGGCCATGAGTGGGATCCGAACCCATAGCTGCTGCATCGGAGACTACAGCCCCTGTACATGGGTCGCCAGCTTAACCAGGTAAAGTGGCGGCCCTGCATGTCTCTTTTAAAAGAAAAAAAATCCCAAATGAAACCATTATCTTTAACTAGGTTCTGTGAAAAAAATAAATAAATCTGTGAAAAAGTAAAGGACTTATTGACTCAGCTGTGACCAACAGGGACAAAAAATAATTCAGGGACTTTTCGGTTTAACTGCAGGCGGTGTCCAATCAGAACACATCGATGACAATTATAGAAACAAATTAAAAATGTAAGGAGTGAAATATCTATATTATGTAAAGTCACAGTTTTTTTTCCCAGTATTGCATAAATGGCGTACATGTTGAGTCCAGGTTTAGTCAATTTTTGTCAAATTAAAACTTAATTTTGGGGCGCCTGGCTAGCCCAACAGGTTGGGCAGGCGACCCATGAACAGGAGTCCGACCCACAACCATTTACCGCCGGTCCTTCCCCAACTCTTCTCCCCATGTTTCCTGTCTCTCTCCACTTTCAACTATAATAATAAAGGCTAAAATCCCAAACAAAAGATTTAAAAAAATCATTTTGTTCTATTTGAATGAGTTATGGCATTGTAACTGTGTCATACTCTCTACTTCTAGTTATGGTTGTTCTGTTTCCATAGAGGTGCAGGACTTCATGTTGCAGTGAAACATAAGTCCACAGTGAGCAAAAATGTGACAGAAGCAGGACAGATGATTAAAGGATGATAATACGTCAGTGTTGTGTTCACAGTTTGCTCCCACCGCCCTCCAAAAAAACAGTTCAAGCCGGTTCACAGTGAAACAATCCTTCATCTACCTGGTTGTCCTTGAGTTCTGCGATATCTGCAACCACCAGAGACTCCATGAACTTCACTCTGTCTTTGCCGTGGACTTTGGTCTGACAGAGAAAGAAAAGAGTATAAATCCGTCAGCAGCCCGACACTTTTACTGTTATCGTATGTGCAGGAGTACGTCCACGCTCGTCTCACCTGCAGCATGTGGCTGACGTCGAAGATGGAGCAGTGCTCTCTGGTGTGCATGTGCGAGGCGATGTGGCTGTCTTTGTACTGGACCGGCATGCTCCAGCCCGCAAACTCCACCATCTTTCCTCCCTGCTGCCTGTGGAAGTCGAAGAGCGGAGTCTTCTTCAAGGCAGCCTGAGGGAAAATGAAACACTGTGCTGACTATACAGAATGATAGAAACACAGAGAATACAGGAATCACAACAGAAATACTGTGAAATCTAATCTGCCGAGGGTTGTGGAGGTCTGTGGGACTCAGTAGCTGCACTCATAATAACTTCTAGCTTTCAAGATTATATTCTGTTTTCTAGCTTTCTGCTCTTTGATCCATTTGGAAGTAATCAAACACTGACTGTACCCACAGCAGCTTCTACTGGGATAACATCATTTGAAGAAACCACATGTAGAACTGCACAATAACAATAGAACTGCTGGGAATAAAACAGATCCCACACATGGATCTGTAACTACACAAGCCATAAAATCCTCCCCCCCCAAAAACAGCCAATAACAAATCAGCTCAAACAAAAGAAAATGTTTATAAAGGAAAAAAATATAAAACTGTACAAACACACATTCCTAAATTTCAAATCAGATAAAACAGCTTCAACTGATCAAAAATATCACACAACAAATACAAAAAATATCAGACTGGACTGATTTAGATAATAGACCCAAGAATGTTTAAAGAATATACTTGAGGAAATACTGTTAGTAATTAAAAATATATATGACATTTAAAAAACAAGTACGGAAATGTAATAAAAGCCTCCATGCTGACAGTCTCTGATGGAATAAAAGTACAACATCTACAAGTTCACCTGACAACAGTCTAATATGATTACATTACATTGGCTCATGATTATTTCAAGCTCGGTCTCTTTTCTAACTCGTCACACATTGCTGCTCTGTCAGGAACGCTTGGTGTCATTTTTCAATGCCCAGGTTGGTATAAGAGGCCTGTAAAAACCAGGACACCATGAGACCACAGCTGAATGTTCCCCGCTGGTGTCGTCATGATTCCTTACGCTCAGGTAACGAGAATCAGCCTCATAACATCCAGTTAATAATGTGAAAGGATGTAATAAATAAAACGGAGTGAAAAAAGATTGCCAGACACTCAACACAAACCTCGATCTCGGGAGTCAAAGTCTTGTGACTAAGGTGATTCTTTTTATATCTATTTTTGATGTAGTGGATTGACATTTTGAGCATATTTAAATCCTGCGCCTCACCACAAT